TTATGAACACTCTGTAGGCATCATTAAAAATAGCTGGCGTTTTTGGGCAATGTGGGAGACAAAAGAATTGTTACAGTCTTTTCCTAGGTATTGTAAATWTTATTTAGGTATTCTTTTGAATTCCAAATGCTATTTATGCAATATTGAGAAGAATACATTATCGAACAACGATATAACAAAAAAGTTTGCTTTTTTGCTTTATTCAAGATCGTATACTTAAGTCATCAAAATGAAATATTTTTCAAAAAAATGGTTTCAACTACTAAATTTATTTTGCCTTATATTGTATCTCAATAAAAACGACAGCAATTTATTTATTTGTACATTAATTCGGGTATTTTCGCGATCATTCGATTGATTCCGTACGGCATTCATCGGGCACATCTATTTGTATACTGTGTCGTTCTTTCCGACCGAAAAATATTTGATTTTCGAATAACAAGATGTTTATAGGTTACAGATCTGTAAACAGGAATTTAAACTAACACGTAAAATTTTAATCTTGGTTTTTATGCGAACGTACTTCAACTTATATATGTATAAATTATTTTCGTATCTTTATTGTTCTTCGTGTTTACAGAGAAGTAAGTACATGTTGTAAAATCGTTACTTTAAACTAACATTTTGAATCGAAAAGAACAAAAATACGTTATTTTTCTTTTAATTTAATTACTATAAAACCTATTTGGTTTAACTTTATATGTTGCTTATATATCCAAGAGTAAAATACTTTCATTTAATGTTATAAAAATTAGTATTAAATTGATAAATATATAAATTATTACCAATTTTTGTATTGGCTTCAAATTTTAATGACACTGTTTATCTTCTTCTCTCTTTCTATTTAAGTCTTAAATTTTTTTCCATCTTAAAATGGATATTCTGTCTTTTTGTTTTTATTCAAAAGCTCATAAAATTTGAATTATAATTTCTGTTTATTAATTATATATATCGAAGATATGAAATCATCTAGTAAGGATTAGTATCATTAAGGCAAGAAATAGAAGCTACATCATAATAACGATAACTTGAGAAAATCGTTCAACCAACACTTTCTTTCCTATAATCGTAGGTAAGTACGTAAAAATGGGCAATGAAAAAAACAAAAAAATTAGATTAACTATCGAATATATAAGACTTATAGGCAAAGTTATATTTCATTTTCTCTTTATTTAATCTAAATAAACAATATTTCAATGTATAAGTTTGTATAATAGTCGTAGTCTTCAAACTTTTTCGGACCGTAGAATATTAATGAGTGTGAAAATATTTTATGCAACCATTGTTGGTAAAAAGATTAGTTTTTGATTTGTTTATATTTTCGTATGTTGTTTCTTGGGTTTCCTAAAATTATAACAAAATTCGATTGTAAACAGTAATTCGTTTAATTTTGGTGAAAATTTCGTGGAATCCCATCATTCCGTAGAATACAGTTTGTAGACCATTGGTATTAAAGATATAGTAAATGCAATAAATAATAGCTTTCTTCAATGTAATTTTGATATGTGAGTATTATTATAATTTCTTTTCAATTTAATATGCATTTTAAAATTAAAATATTCACGAATAACATTAAGGAGAAGAATGCCACTGTGATTGGTTACAGTTTATGTCACGTTTTTCTTAATATAAAGTAATGTTTTCTCTGAAATACTGATAGTTACATTAAATTATCTAGACCTGAGAAATATGACAGTTATTTATTAGCATTTTCAGTATCGTCCTTGTTTATTTGTAGTTTTTGAAGTGAAACTTCTTAACGGATGTTCGGGATGGGATCTAAATGAAAACAATAGAACGTTACGAATATACAAACGCGGGGTTGAAACGCTTCTTATTGGCTGGCCAGTGTGTATTGTTGTCTTTATGAGTGAGCAAAATGCAGTAAAAGAGAGACAAACTGCTCTCTCTTACCTTCGTTCTCTTTAAATATATATATGTTTTATGTATCTGTGTGTATATACGTGTCCAACAAAAGATATCGTACTTGGTACTACACGCATACGCATATAGTAGTAAAAGAAACCCTTTCTAACGTGGATAGTCATGTGGTCTACTTAAACTGTTGTTGTGTTTTGGTTTTTTGTTATTTGTTGTTTATTGTGTGATGATTTATAAAGAACCGATAAATCAAGTTAATGAAGAAAATGAAGAAAGTGCCGAATTATGTGAGAACAATATTCATTTACTTTAGCTTGTTTTAGTCGGTGATTTTAACGTTAATTTTTCTGAAAAAATATTCGTAGCCACTTGCCCAATGTTTCTCTCAAAAATTTGATTTAAATAATTTTTTTAAATAATAATTTGACGCAATTAAATACAGTACAACGATTAACGTGGTTTTTTTTCGAGATACATTAATAAAACATAGAGTCACAAACATTTGTCTCTTATTTTAGGTATCACAAACCATGCGTATTCATGGTAGAATGTGACGATTAAAATGCAAGACTGTGTTATTGTAATTTTTAAAAGAAATATTATATTTCTATATTTGTGAAAATTTCTATTGGTTATTACTGTATTGATATATTTTATTATTTTAATTAATAATTAAAAATTAAATTTTATATCTAATACACTTAAAAAGCTCCGCCCCTGTCGGGTGTCCCACGAAATCTTACATCATTTTTCATGGATATTTGATTTTTTGCAATAGAATAGAACATAATTATTAGGTAATAACATTTAGATTATTGTTTAATCGGTCATGCCACCTGGTCTCATTAAAGTGACAGTAACACATTCAATTTTCGGAAGTTTAATTATAATTTTATCTACATATTTTTTAATATGTGTATCTTAAAAAAATTAAAAAAAATTTTTTTTTTAATTATCACAGTAACGTTCACCTATAAGGCATCTTATATTAGTTATTCTTTTCTTTTGTAGGTGACTGGTAATAAACAATGACTACCATAATCTTAATGATATTTTTTCTTATCTTTACAACAATCAACGCTAATACTTATCAATGCGAGAAAGATCCAGGTTGTCAATGCTGGTCAGATGAATTAGACGAAATAAAAGTAGTTTACAGTGCAGAAAACGGTGCGACGTTTGGGATAAAAGTTAAATCATGGTCAGATTTGCAGGTATAGACTCAGTAGCTTTTTAATTAATTGCAATTCGGTTTAATTCAATTTATATTGCAATATTTATTACTATGTYGTAAAAATAATCTAAAGTTAATAAGATTAATTCTGGACCTAATATTTCCTATGTTGTTTAATAAATAAACTTCTTATTTTCTTTAAATAAAATAAAATAATAATTTACCAGATTGATTGTAAAGATATGGGAGGATGGAATAACTTTGATTTCACAAGCGTACAATCCGGAAAGATACTCAATACGCTGGAGTTTATACATTGCGAATTACCAAACACAATTACATTAAAAAATGTGGTGAAAAAATTAGGAGTGAAAGACACAAATGCACTCGTCTTTCAATCTTTTAAAAACCTTGGTGAAACACTACAAAGAGAGCATCTTCAAGAATTTTCAAATGTGACAAAATTAGTTTTATCTCATAACGGTTTTACTAATATTTCATATAATGTGCTTTTGGATTTATACAAATTGGAATACCTTGATATATCTGAAAATGATCTTATACTACAAAAAAATATTTTCGTAGGAACACCAAATCTTAAGCGACTTGAATTATCTGAAAGTCGAATAAAAGAGCTCGTCCCTGGATTATTTTTTAATTTAAAATTTCTAGAGATTCTAAACCTTATGGGAAATGAATTGATTAAACTTAATGTCAAAATATTTGACGAGCTAGCATCATTAAAATATTTGAACCTACAAATAAATCTCTTATCCGAGTTACCGCAATTAATTTTTCATAAATTAAAAAGATTGGAAACAATTGATTTGTCGTATAATTATTTTACAAATCTTCCATCAAAATTGTTTGATCAAAATAAAAGATTGCGACAAGTACTATTGTATGGTAACAACATACCTGCATTAGTACTGCCAGATTATTTTTTCTCGAATTTAGAAGGACTAGAAGAAGTTGTTTTGAGCAGTAATGGATTTGAAAAACTAACAGAAAGTCTTTTCTGGGGTTCATCATCATTAAAATATATCCATCTGAATGATAATTTTCTTAAAACTTTACCCCAAAATATCTTTAGAGGTCTACTAAATGTTGAGATACTCGTAATATATAATAATAAAATTGAAACTCTTCCTGAGGGAATTTTTAAAGATTTGAGAAAATTAAAAAAACTTGACTTGTCCAAGAATCATATTGTTTCTATATCAAGGTACATTATTATGCAATTTATAGAAGATTTATTTGTTTTCTATTTTTTTTCTAATATGAATATTTTGTAGATATATGTTTGAAGGTTTGATATCTTTGACTGAACTAAACATGGAAAGAAATCATTTGAAACATATCGAAAATGCAGCTTTATCAACCATTAGAAATCTAACAATTGCTAGGTTCTCTCATAATGAGCTACAGTTAAACTTTACACGTACAAATCAGTCTCCTTTTTTTTATAATTTTCTTCTTGAAGAATTGTATTTATCGAACAATGAGATACAACATTTCTTTTCCGATTGGTCGATAAATAAATTTTATTTAAAATCATTAGATCTGAGTGACAACAAAATAAGTTTCTTATCGGTAATTATTATTTCAATGAATCAAAATGATACGATAAAAAAAAAAAATTACTTTTACTTTAATAATTGTTTTTATTCGATTTTATTTCTTTTTTTTCTACTCTAGACAAGTAACTTCATTTTTCCATCAAACAATGTTCTAGTTGATTTTAGATATAATAACATAAGTAATATTTATTTAAAAGAACTCGAGCACTTTGCTATGGATCAAACTGGGGAACGTGAAGTTATGGTCTCCGTGGGCCATAATCCGTTATTATGTGATTGTAACTTGTATGATCTCTTGCGTTATTTATACGATGATATGGACATGAATGTTTATAATTACATTATAATTAAAGTTGAAAATTTGAAATGTTTATACCCTAATGGAATGGAGGGGCCAGATCTTAATCAACTGCATTATACCACCTATAAATGTCCTGAACACGAATACTTTGGAATTGCAGAAAATTGTCAATTTGGTTGTACTTGCAGTATAAGGCCATATGACAGAACTCGAATTTTAGATTGTTCAAACAGAAATATGTCTGTATTCTTAATCGACATGGCAAAAGTAAATTTTGTGGGAARGTATCCTTTAATATTAAATCTCACCGGGAATGTTTTAACGGAGATACCATCAATGGAAGATTTAAAACAAATAAACATAATAGGTTTATTGTTATCTAATAACAATATTTCTCAGATAACGCTCGAGAAATTACCAAGAAGTCTCAAAGTGAGTTATTTTTTATTCTATTATTTTTTCTTTGTTTTATTAGAGATACTTAACAATTTTATCTTTGTTCTTCTGTTTCTGTTTTAGGTATTAGAATTGCATAATAATAATATATCAAAATTTGATGTACACGTAATGGACTATTTGATATCTAGTTCTTTTAACGAATTTACTTTAAGTGGCAATCCACTAAAATGTGATTGCGCTAATGAAGATTTACTTGAATTTGTCCAATTAAGGCGATCTCATTATAAGGATTTAGATGAATTAAAATGTAAGAATATGGATCTTCCTGTGTACAATATGACCATTGAACAGTTTTGCCCATCCGTTTCACCTTTAGAACTCAACTAAAGAGTGGAATTTAATGAAACGAACACAGAGCTCTCGGCAGATTTCTAAAGAATGTAATATTATAAGTATAGTGATTTTTAACAGAAGACATTTTTTTCTCAATGCAATCATGATTATATTGTTTTAGAAAACATACTAAAACAATATAAATCAGTGAGTGTTAAATATTGTCATTTTTCTTATAGATAAAATTAGGTAAAAAAAATTTTTAGAGAGAATGACAATTCAGTAACATCTCTTAAATTTTACTATGCTGTAATAACATTAAGCGTGAGTTAATTCTTTATATCTAATTATTATTTTTTCACGTAAAATTATATTCTTATATTTATTGTCATTTAATCATCATATATAATAACTTTTTATATTTTAAACGACGATGTTTGGAACACACACAACGATAGTAGATGCCTTTTGTATATATTTTGAAAATGTGGCAATTATTATCTTTGTAATGTAAGTAATATTTTTTAAAATAAGAAAAACGACTATTGTTTCCGAATCCGAATAAAAAGATTGGCTTTGTGTATAAGTTATAAGTAACGATAAAATAATTCGAGATGCGTTGGGAATTATTTCTGAAAATAATATATTAAATACTGTTTTAAATAGTAGTT